GTCGTCACAGGAGCTGTCGACGTCGTCACAGGAGCCGTCGACGTCGTCACAGTAGTCGTCGTGGTGGATGTTGTTTGGTACGTTGGGGTAGGCGTCAGACTAGGCAAGCTCGAAGGTAGCGTCGATGCAAAGCAAACGTAGTCCAGTGCAAACCCTGAATTTCCCTTCGAGCTGTCGGTGGTTAGTACCACGGACGAATTCGCGGCCAAGTTGGAAATACTCGGCAGGGATGACCCTGTGTACCGCGCCACCCCTGGGAAAGTCACAAAGTCGTAGCCACTTTCAAGGTCGAACGTGGAAAACGACACGTTAACCAGCACCAACGAACTTGAAGGACATGTCAGGACCCACGTCAGATTCAAATTGTTGCCGTAGACAATGGGGCTAAGAAACGCGTAGTCGATGCGGCCCGTAAATGTCATGGCAGTGCCGACGGAGGGGGCTAGCGTCGGAATGGGTGTAGTAGTTGCCCCAGAACACACATAGTCCAATGTAAACCCCGCTCGTCCTGCCGAGCCATCCGTGACGAAAACAATGACGGTACCCGCGCTGACGGTAGCGGTCGGAGGCAGAAGGTTTCCTGTGAATCGCCCTGCTCCAGGAACTGTCAAGTAGTCGTAGCCAATCTCAAGGTCGAACGTGGTGAACGTCACGGTGACCAAGCTGCTGGCATTGGAAGGACACGAAAGGATCCAGTTCAAGTTCAAGTTGTCACCGTACACGTTCGGGTACACAAACGAGTAGTCGATGCGACGGCCCCCACTGGGAGATGGCGCGTTCGGGGCCATTGTCGGCACGAGAGCCTCTGGAGCAACGGCCGCCGTGCACGTGTAATTCAGTGTAAACCCTATTCCCCCTATCGATCCGTCCGAGGTTAACCACACGGTCGAGTTGGCGTCCACGTTAAAGGGGCTGGGAAGGACGTTGCCTGTGAAGTTGTAACCACTGAATCTCAAGTAGTCGAACCCGTTTTCGAGGCCGAGTTTTGTGAGGATGACGATCACGTGTGACGCGAGGGGTGGACAGGCAAGGACCCAAGACTTGTTCAAGTTGGGTCCGTATGTATTTGGAGGCTCGACCGAGAAATCGATAACGGCACTGGTGACGTTGATGATCACCGACGCAGGAGCAGAGGGGGAAGCAGGTTGTGTGGTGGTCGTGGTAGTGGTATTGGCAGCTGTGGTGAGTCGATCGGCAAGGCAGTCGTACACCAAGGCGAATCCGGTGCGGCCCACGGACGCGTCGGATGTAAACACCACGGACGCATTGCCCGACGTCACGACGACCGGTGGAAGGACGGTTCCCGTGAATCGCCCGCCGCCGAACCCACCAATTGTGACAAAGTCAAAGTTGTTTTCCACGTCCAGCTTGGAAAAGACGACAGTCGCCACCGGCGTGTTACTAGGACACGTGAGCGTCCAGTTGCGATTCACGTTGTTGGCGTATACGGACGGGGGCTCAAACGAGTAGTCGATGGCGCGGTCGGCCGTACTGTTGGTCTGGTTGCTTGGGGATGTCGAGTTGTTGGTCGTCATCACTGGGTCCAACCAGGCGCCGGTGTGGCACGTGTAATCGAGAATAAACCCGCTTCGACCAACCGATCCATCGCTCGTGAATGCCATCATGGAATTCGCAGCCACGACAAACGGAGCCGGCGACGTGTTGCCCGTGATGGTCGCTGCAACCGGACTTCCAATCCTGATCACGTCAAAGTTGGTTTCAAGATCCACGAGCGCAAACGTCACCGACACCAGCGTCTCCTCCGTCGACGAGCACACAAGCTGCCACGTCACGTTCAGGTTGTTCGCGTACGTCAACGGTGCCGCAAACGAGTAGTCGATGCGGACGGTGCCGTTTTGAACCGTCGTGTTCGATCCAACGACGCCAGCATGGGTCGCATCGTCGACGATCGGCGGCACCACGATGGAAAAGCACTCGTAGTCGAGCACGAACCCGCTGCCGCCTATCGACCTGTCGGAGGTAAAGTATACTTGCGCATCGGCACCCAAAATGACATTGCCCAAGGGCACGACGTTGCCCGTATATCGATTGGATGTGCCTCCAAGGAACACAAAGTCAAAGTTGGTTTCCACGTCCAACTGGACAAACGTGACGTTCACAGAGGTTTCGTTGGACGGACATACGAACGGCCAGTGCAATTGCACGCTGTTGTCGTACACGGCAGGACTCGTGAACGAATAGTCGATGCGACCATTCCTCGACGACGGTGCTGGTGTTGTTAGTGGAAAGGTGGATAAGCACACGTAGTTCAACACAAACCCGGTCCGTCCTTGCGAGCCGTCGGATGTAAACCGGACTTCTGCATTGGCGGGGACGGTGATGGGCTCGGTCGGTAGGAGCCTACCCGTGAAGTTCCAACCAAAGCCGCCTGTGATTCGTACAAAGTCGTACGTGTCTTCCAAGTCCAACTTGGCGAACGTGACGTTGACGAGTAGAGATTCGGATGGACACGTGAAATTCCAACGTACGTCCTTGTTGTCCTCGTACGTCAAGGGATCGACAAAGGAATAGTCGATCGTCCCACGGGCTGCAACGGTAGGCGTAGGGGGCGCCGTCGTCGTCGTGGTTGTGGGTGCTACGGTGGTGGTCGTAGTAGGGGAGAGAGTTGTGGTCGTAGGGGAAGGAGTTGTGTCTTGGAAAATGCATGTATATTCGAGTACAAACCCACTTTGTCCTTGCGTGCTGTCGGAAGTAAAGTGCACTTTGGCGTCAACGTTCACTATAATAGGCCCCGGGGGAATCGCGTTCCCAGTGAACTTGCCCCCATCCAGTGAGATTTCCACAAAATCATAGTTTCGCTCGAGGTCAAATTGAGTGAACGTCACGCTTACGAAGGATGCGGAGGACGAACATTCGAACGACCAAAACACGTTTGCATTCGGGGGGTACGTGTCTGGAGCGACAAACGAGTAGTCGATGCGGTCGCCGCCTGAGGAAGGAGAGTTCGTGACTGGGGACAAGGTGGTTGTGGTTGCAACCGAGGGGGGAACGGTGGTGGTAGTTGTAATAGGTGGAGCCAATGTGGTCGTGGTCGTGACAGGGATCGGGGCACTGGGAAACGTTGCCCAACACCCGCTGATGATACTCTTTTCCCAGAAAAACAACACCTTGTCCACGTAGTCAGATCCGCAAATATTGACGTTGATCTTGGCCACGGTGCCCACAAACACATCGTACTCAAACACGTGGGGGATGTTGCACACCCCGCCTTTTACCAAAGATGTTGAGTCGAGTGCGGCGGTCGACAAGGCGGGAAGGGGCAATGCGGCGCTTGTGGTCACCTTCATACTGGCGCGGATGTACATTTCCAAGGCTGCCGACGCCACTACTGACGCCGACTTGGAGAAAAACCACAACGACACCGAGGCCGTCGCGTTGGCCGAGATGACGGGTCGAAGGCCCACTTGGCCGTTGACCTTGAGCCAGTCTGGCCATGTCGTGTCGGACGTGGTTGTGATCTGGCGCTTCGAGAAGGGCCCCCCCAGGAACGACATGCCAAACGTAAACGCGTCGATTCGGGCATCGTACACGTACACGTACTCGGACGACGTGGACGCTTGCAGGTCAATCACAAACTCAACCCCCAGTTCGGATGAAAATTCGAGCGACCCAAACGAAGTGCCGATCGAGAACCCCACGGGACGCCCCGTGCCGATGAGCGGAAGTGTGATGCGCTTTTTGCACATATCGGGGGCGTTCAACACAAACGCGAGGCGGACGTGGCCCGTCACGGTCACTTCCATTTTGAGCAAATCCGTGATGGAGAAGCTCGAGTCGATCGAGGCCACGTTGAACCCGACATAGCAATCACGACATTTTATGATGCACCCGTCGCTAGAGTAGATGGGCATTTCATGCACAATTGATTGGTACTTGGAACTGGCCACGTTCCAAGCCATGTCCAGCAAATCGTTGGTTTTGGTCTGCATCCAATTCAGCTCCCGCCGGCGCGACATCGCCGGCGCAATCGTCGTCGTTGCCATCGCCGCCTGCTTGTCGGCCGTGTCCTCAACGAGGTTTTTGAACGCCCGTGTGACCACACGAAACTCTTGGTTGGCGAAGATGTCTGACCCCGCCACTTGCTCTGTGGTGAGGTGCAGATCGCAGGATGTCGATGGTGCTGGCTCCATCTCGACTATGTCCACCGAGAGCACGCGAACTCCGAGGGCGTAGTCGGCCTGGCCGTCGCACTTGAGGCCCTTGTGGATGAGCACTTGGCCTGGACCGAATGGCAACGTGGCGCACTGGTTTAGCTTCAATCGAAGCGAGTGGTCCGTGCATTTGACCACCGCCTCAAACGCTGCGTTCTCGTCCAGCGGCACCACGCCGTCGTTGTACGTGTAGTTGACGTAGATGTACGTTTCGGGCTTGCCCCCCGCGTCCTCCACCACCACGTGCGCTTCAAGAGACGGCGGCAAATTCATGAGCGTGCCCTCAGCTTGCAGCAAGCTCGGTACGACTGTCAAAAGCGTGTCGTCGGTGACTTGGGCGATGGCTTCGTCCAGTCTTGAAAACAAGTCCACTGCGTACGTTCTGGACGCAGCTGATGCAATCAACAGTGCGACCCATGGTCGGAAGTACATTTTGGAAACGCTACGCGGACACCTGAGTAAAAACTAGAGTGCAAGACAATGGCGCGACTAGTTTTCCATTTCAGTCTGTCGGGTACGAGTTTAACTTTGGTTGCAGCTGCGGTTTCCACTCCCCAAATTAACACACCGGTAACCGCTTTCACGACCACTAATAATCCCCCACTCCCACAGCTCATCAAAGCCACGATGTCTTCACTGTGTAAGTGCAACCCGCTTTGTTGGTCGTTTTCTCGTACGCGTTGCTCAATAATAGTACTAGACCACGTGGTAGTACAGTACTACCGGTAGTACAAAACACGAAAACACGACGGCGGTCTGGTCGTGTAATTTTAAGTTTGGATATCTGGGCAACCATGTTCAATAAAACAAATCCCAAAATAGCTACGTATTCCTGTGTCTACTAGTAATCCGTCTACATGAAAAGCCTAATTAGAATGAATTTAGGTTAGTTTTGACTGTTTTGAGGTTCTGAGAATTCTTTCACAACTTCTTTTAGAATTCCTAAAATTTGTGGTTGGTAATTAGTGTGGACCAATTTCATGCCATATTGTTGGGTGTTTGGGGTGTATGCCACGATGCCCAATTGCTCTGGTAGTCATAGAAAGCCATCAAGTGTGGTGTAATAACCCTTGCACATGATGTGTGTCTGCACTATTATTGACTACTGCTTAAATCAATGCCAAAGTGTGATGTGACTTTTCATCACAAATGAAAAAGTCACATCACACTCTGCATTGATTTAAGCGGTAGTCAATAATAATTCTCACATTGCCAATAACCTTACAAATTCTCACATTGCCAATAACGTTACTCAAAATTGGTGCGGTCCGCACTAATATTAGCTTCCCATGTTACCAGAGATCAACATGACCTCTAGTAAGGTCGCCACAGTGTTGGCATGGCCTGAATGGGTTAACTTGTCCTGGAAAGGTGTCGACAAAGGTTTAGGATCTATTTTATTATACTACTTCTATTATGAGGATACAAACTACAAGTATGTATTTAAATTACCGTTGCTTACAAAAGCTAAGATAAAAAGTAAAAAAATATGATACGCTGCAAAATATGTGAAAAGCACAATACATAATAACCGTTGGAGATGCTCTTTAATGAGTGTGCGGATTGAAATATACTACCGTAGTAGTGGGGTCTGGACTAATACATGTGCCGTAGGTCTGGTGCGGTTGGCATTACAGTAATTACTGTCATTTGCGATCGAGATAAACTTATCTCTTTTACACTGTGGTAGCCACAGTGTCACACAAACCCATGCGACTTAGTGTCATCTCCTTCACCTGCTTATACCCCCACCTACGTACGCTGCTCTAACGCACCATGACAATGTCGTCAATCTTGAGGATCATGCGCACGCATTCAGCCGCCAGACTGATCTCGCTCGTGTTGACCAGCAGCGGCTGCAGCACGTTCAGGTCGTACATGTTGCTGATACCGCCTTTCCGGACGTTGATGCCCGCGGCCTTGTCGCCCGCCGCGTGCTTGGCGCGGAGTTCTGTGACGATGCCGATCGGGTGCAGCCCCGCGTTCTCCGCCAGTGTGTACGGGATCACTTCCAGCGCATCGGCAAACGCTTGTAAGCAGTACGCCGCCGTGCCTTCCAGCGTGCGGCCATACTCGGCCAACTGCAGCGCCACCTATAATGTCCATGATGACCCACCAAGTCTGCCACAATTGCCAACCTCGATCTCAGGGGCCCCGCCGCCGCAAATGAGGAAGCGCTTCTTCACCAACGACCGGACCACACACAGCGCATCATGCAGCGAGCGCTCGGCCTCTTCCAGCACCAATTTGTTGGATCCGCGCACCAAGATGGACATGGTCTTGCCTGGCTTGACCACTTCCGTGATCTTGACCACCTAGAAAAGAGTCAAAACTCTGTCTCAGAGTTGGCCTGCTAGTCGTTCGACCCACATTGCAGCACAATGTATATATATATATACCTTGTGGCCTCCCAGCGATTCTTCCTGTACGAGGCCGGCCGTGCCAAGCTTGTCGGGTGTGAGAGACTCGATGTGCGCGACGGGGAGGCAGCCGAGCGTCGTGCTGATGTACTCAATGTCGTTGCGCTCAATATCAGTGATCACGTGGATACCCATCTTGGCCAAAAAGTGCAAACTCAAGTCGTTGGTCGCGTCGCGCAAGATGGACTTTTGGATCAGCAGTACGTTGACGCCAGCCTTCTTGACTTGCTTGCACAGGTTCAAAATGTACTTGCGCTCTTCGCGGAGGATGCGATCCATCGCCGAGTAGTCGTTGATTACAACGTTGTTCTCCATGTCCGTCTTGGGCGCCGACAAGCAAAACTGGATCAATGCGATCTTGGCGTTTTCAATCATCGTGGGCATGTCCACGCCGCTCGTCTTTTCAAAGCCCTGCGTGCCAACGGGTTAGATGGATGGATGGGAATGGTAGGGCGTACCTTGGAGAAGACCAACCCGTTGATCAGTTGCGAGTCGTCGATGGTGCCGCCGAGCTGCTTGACCACCTTCACGTCACGGAGGTCGACGTTCGTGGCGGTGGCAATGTCGATCACGTTCAACACGGCATCCACGGCGATGGGAGATAAGCGGTCCGAGTACTCGGAGATGACCTTGGACGACAGCGACGTCGTCACGCACTGAATGAGTTCGTTGCGGTTGGCCAAGTCCACCGGGCGGGACATCGCCGTGAGAATCTGTTCCGCCTTGATGGAGGCGATCCCGAATGCTTCCGAGATGTGCGTGGGGTGGATGCCCTTCTCCAACAAGTCTTCGCATGCAGACAAGAGCGCCCCCGCAATCACACACACGCTGGTGGTGCCGTCGCCGGCCTCAATGTCCTGCGACTTGGACAAGTCCACAAGCATCTTGGCCGTGGGGTGGTACACTTGCATTTGGGTCAAGATCGTCGCGCCGTCGTTGGAGATGATCACTTCGCCATTGCCTTGTTGGATCATCTTGTCCATGCCGCGGGGTCCCAAACTCGTGCGGATGGCGTTTGCGATGGCTACACATCGAACACTCCATGAGTCATGGCATCCACACATCATGCCAAGCGGACATGCCTACCTTTCGCCGCGATGATGTTGGAGATGCGCACATCCTTTTCCTTTGCCTTGCCGCGCAAGGTTTCCCCCTTTCTAGCGGGTGGTGCTGCTTTCTGGATTGCGGAGGGAGCCATGACGGTCGGTGCTGTCGGTCGACGTTGTGGGATCTCAAGTTTCTGTGGAAGAAGCGCAAGCTGTGAACGGCCATACAATATAAACTCACGATAGTGGATTTACCTCTTTTTATTGTTAAATTTAATTTAAACTTCTTGTTCATATGCATTGACCCTTTTTATAATATTTTTCAGGTTTCAAACGGCATGTATTATATATTGCCACACCTTTGATGGAAACCATGGAGCATACCGGTATGCAGAAAAGGCCACCGCTGCCGCCGCTGCATCACCACGCATGCGATAGGTCTACCTTGATGCACCAGAGTTGGTGAATGAACCAAGTTTGAGGTGGTCCAAGTGAACCAAGTGAACAGCGACCTTCTCCTCTGAATTCCTCCATAGAAGCCTCAAATGCCACCCATGCATGCAACCAAGCTTGTTGTCATATTAGGAACCGCTCCTACTCGTCCAAAGTAAGACTCCAATGCTCGGTATAGTTGAGAAATCGCGGCGTGAACGTCTTGGTCTCGTGGTGGAAGTCCAAGACGTTGATGCACGTGTTGTCTTGCGTGATGGTCTCGACTTTGGTCATGTCGCCGTACAGCAGCGACGACAACAGGAGTTTGTTGAATCGACCATGGCACACGAGCGCAACATGCTTCGCCTGGGGAGTGAGGAGCCCCAAGAGGGCTTCTCGTCCCCGCTTCTCCACTTGCACGGGGGACTCGCCATCCGGCCACGCCGCATGCAAATCTCCTTCAACCCACGCATTGACTGTCGACTTCCACAGGTCGTACAAGTCGTCTAGCTTGATGCCTTCACAGGTGCCAAAGTACATTTCTTCCAGTCCATCCACTACGACCGGTTCGAGGTTGTGATGTGCCCCGATCGCGGCGGCGGTCGACTTGGCGCGCACGAGGAAACTGCAATACAGACCTTCCAAAGGTACATCTTGAAGCGCCAGCCCTAGCTTCTTGGCCTGCGACTCGCCATGCTTGTTCAGCGTGCTGTCGATACCGCGGCCTTGGAACCGAAGCGCCACATTGTAGTCTAACAGCGAAGAGCACAGTCATACCACACGAGCACTAGCCATCGGCGACAAGTCATACCTGTCTCGCCATGTCGGCATAGATACACGCGGGTGTAACCCAGGTCCAAAGGAAACGTTGTCTGGACTTCCTTGATCGTCGTCATAGTGGCGCGGCCAATACGAAATGACGAAATCAGCAATGGCAACTACGATCTTGAGGGTGTTTATCCGGTATATCCCACGAGTTTCTCCCATGCGAGAAATCAGCATCGCATGTTATTGTGAGGTGAAAATGGAAAACAATCATCCTAACGGTACCAAAGCATATCGACTACAGAGCTTAGCCCTATCGCTTGTCATGTTGCGGCATTCTCTGTAGGTGTCTTGAAGGTTTACTTAATTAATGGTCGTCCTGCACTACTGGTCTATTTGGATTAACATCAGAGGTGACACTGGGCAACTTCATTCCTCGATTCGCTGAAAAAGATTTACTATCAGCAAATAGAATAATATTTGATTTATGTCGGTGGTTGATTGGCTAACAAATTGACCGAAGAATCATGGGCAATGGGAAATACTACTGTCCTTGTTGGGAAATATACTATCCCCACAACGACATGGCAGCAACGACAAGTACTATCCTTCAGGCCATCCTGTTTGTGTCGCCGCAGTTCTACTGCTATCCGTGGAAGCCTCTGCTAAACGCTGCGATCGGAGACACTTATGACGTAGCTCTAAAGCACTTCCTGGTCAACCACAAAACCGCACCGAACCTCGTGCTGCATTGCGTGTGCATGGTGGTGCAATTGCTCGGCAACTTTTGCTTTCTTCAAACGGTGGACGACATCTTGTTTCCATCCCGTCCCCGCCCTTTGTCCATTCTCACAGCTGTGACATGGATTGTCTACTTGCTTCGACGCGCTCCTTCGGCTCCATGGTGGGTCCAACTCGCGTCGGCGTCCAGCATTGCCGCGGCGGCAGCTGTGGCGCCGTCTCTTGTACCTCACGGTGAATTCGTTTCCCTCGTACTCCTTGCGACATTCCTAGGTGTCCTTCTGCTTGTGCATGTCATTGGCTTCCACAAGAGCTTGCATGCCGTCGCCTCGGTTCTCTCGACGCTTGCGCTCGTCGGTTTCCACGTGTTGTGGTCCGCCCTGCCTCACGACCTTGCCTCCATCTCCGACCACACCGTGCACATCAACTGTGTGTTTCTCGGTCTCATGCTGTTGATCTCGTTGGTCAAGAACCCCCTCGTGCCCTCCGTCGCCTACGGCTACCTCGTCGGACACGCACTAGCCGCCATCACTGGCCAGGCGTGGCTCTTCTTCTTCAGTTTTGGCTTCTTCGGCTCGGTTTTGCAGTCCGTGTCCCATCTGGTCACTAAAGAAGTGCCGACGATGGTGGCATTGCAGACCGTCGCGTCTCCCGCGGACAAGGTGCGCTACGAGTACGCCCACGTCACGTTCTTTCCGCACTTGGTCTTCCACGGCCTCGTGTTTTCATCCGATCTCGTAAACAAGTCCTCTAAAACAACATAAAATTAATCAATCATGCTTCTCCTACTGTCATAGGATTGTGAATTCGCTATAAACCTCCGCGTGGTTTGGATACTCACTATTGCGTCAAGCTGGAAGTTCTGATTGGCTGAATATACTGTAAGAGGAGCCAATCAAATCCACTCAAAATTGGATTAGCGTCGATTCGATTCAACGGGGTCTGGAAATCTGTACCGAGCCTGAAGTATTGTGGACAATACTTCAGGACAGGATTTTTGTGTGCCAAACATGGCTGGCATGCACATTTTAAGCTGTGTTTTCCACCCAAATTCGCCAAGTGTCGATTGGTGAATAAACCGCCAGACCTTCGAAATCAAATATTAAATCATGTTGAAGAGGGACAGTAATTCGTTTAAGCCAATCATAAGGCAACCTGTCATTCATTTTAGCCAATCATACTGCTTTGCGCAATTTGGCGACTCGGAGGAGATAGAACACATACAATACAAATTCAAGCAATAATATCGTAGTAGAGCTCCCCTGTCATGTCCTCGTTAGTTTAGATGCACCTTGAATAACGATCTAGTGATATGATTCTTCAAGTATCAGTTCCATTGTTAGCTGTAAGCCTGAAAGCATGACTTGTTATTGTCATTTTACCCCAAATTTCAACTATTGTGCTGATTCGCCAAATCTATAGATCGATTCGTTGTACCGACTGTTGTATGTAAACATTATCGAGTGTCACACTAATTTCCATTCACACACGAATTCGATGTGGAATTGGTTTCAAAGAGTGGATTTGATTGGCTACTTGATTCGTGTGTTGTGGGTTTTGATTGGTCAATCGATTGTCTGACTGCTCATTCGAATATTGACCACCCAAACTCTCCCATTTTGAATCGACTTGACAATACAAAGCAACGACAACGCATCGTACAGTATGTACGTGCAGGAGGGGACGGGTTACAGTTATGGATGGTGCACGACCGTGCCAGTTCCTCCATAGACGTCCTTGTTGGCCGAAGCAATCTCCAACACTCGACAATCGATCACCACTTCCGCCTCCAAGTACGCATCGCACGCATTGAGCTCCTTGTCCACGTCACCGCCGGCGCCAAAACTCCCCGGCCAAAACGAACTCGCGGCCGTCGCTTCGTGGATCAACCCCGCCGCTTTGTACGCGGCAGCAATCTACCCACACCCGATCGAAACTCCATTTTAAAACACACAAAATATACTATTCATCGCAATGCAAATATAAAAAAAAAGCCAAACTCACTCGCAAGCAGTAGGGGGGGGGGTTGTACCAGTTCAGAGCAAAAAAAGCCAGACAGGTCGGCGTTGGTTTCGGTGGGGCGAATCAACTTGTTTAGTGACATGTTGTATGGCTTTCCTTCAACCTATAACAAGTCATTTTCTATGGTATATCTTTATAATCCTCACAAGCTTATTGACAAATATATTGCCGTGGGTTTATATTCTAAACTGGAGTGGCGACAGGGAGAATGAATCGATTTGCACAACCAAATAAATGTACACACTAGAATCAACTGAAGGGCGTTAGCCAATCCGAATGCAGGAAATACCATCAACAACCATCAAATTAGTGTGTGACTTCAATTAGTGTGATATAAATCACCACAGAGACGCCCTTTTTACATACGGAATTCATTACAAAGAATCTATCGATAATAGGTTTGGCAAAGAATCAGCACAAAACTCCAAATTTTGGGTAAAAGGACACCATATACCAGAGCCACAAACGCGTGCATGCGACGGTGAAACGTGTCACGGGACACTGGCGGCATGCGCAGTTTTCGCAGCGCAATGTAGTTGATAAAGCACGAATTGTACGCGAGGATACGCGGCACCTAATGATGCATGCATCGTTCAATTCAACCGCACGTTGATTTTACAGAAATATTGTATTACATATATATATATACAAATATATATAGAGTATAGAGAGATCGGACCAGTGGAAGCAGTGTCACGCCATCGCCCGTGGCTTCCAGGAGCAAAAATTTGGGTAGGGCGTTCGACGCAGGAGCTTGCACTACCATCCCCACGTGATCCCACTCGGCGCCAGTCATCTACACAGGGGGACGTTCGTTGACTCGATGACGCTGCAATGGTGGATACGATACTATGTATTCCTGTATTATTATATATTGGGTACAAAAAGTCCCAATTCTAATATCGATTCGTAACCCCAAATCTCGCCGCGAAATTTCATTGGCTATTCCAATACCGCAGAAAGCACGACGTAAAACGAAAAAAACAATGTAACCACCAATCCGACACGAGATAATTTCATATTTGGACCAATGGGAGCGATTCGTGATCGGTTTGGGCGATTGGGCCGGAAATTCATACCAAATTAATATTGTTGTGTAAATTATTCTAACAGTAAACTGGAGCGACATGGAGACTGAATGAATTGACACAAATACGTGTACACAAGAATCATCGGCAGAGGTAGGATTTAGCCAATCAGATTGCAGGAAATCACCATCAACAACGTCAAATTCGTGTGTGACTTCAATTAGTGTATGATACCAATCACCACAGGACACGTTTTTACACACAAAAGTCAGTACAAAGAAGATATCGATAGATTTGGCGATTCCGCACAAAAGTAGTCCAAACTTTGGGTAAAAGAAAGGCAATAATATATCTCGAAGACACATTTTGTTACCGTGCGCTGGACGCCACTCATGTGATTCTTGGACTGGAACAGTAAAACGTCGCCTGTTTCGACACATCGCTGCAAAATGCGCAGGTGCAGCACATCTCGAGGCACCCCACTGATCCATTCGTGTTCGAGTCGAGGTGACGACAGCGCTAGTCATGACGTACTATCAAAGCCATCGAAGAGTAGGTAGGGTAGATAGCATGGCCCCATGAAGTAGTACGCATTGCAGAATACTATGATTCATGTATAGAGTTCCCATCGAAATAGTCACAACGGCAATATCAAGTGTGTTGGTGCTTTCCTTACCACCAAGAAACGACAAGAACGCGACCGACTGCATCGCGTCGGGCCGACCACTCAGCTGCCGCAAGTACGTTTCCAAGCGCATTTGCCTGGCTTGGATGAATTTCGCGTCACTTGTGGGCAGCCTACGCCGCCCCCTCCATTCACGTTGAATATATTCAAAAGAGTTTCTACCATGTCTTTGGGGGCAGGGAAGGGAGATCGGTCGCGTGTAATTCTTGCGCAAGTTGGTCGCGAAGGAGGGAAAAGTCTCTGAACCGCCGTGTAATATGCCATTTCAAGTCGCCGTGGCACACTCTGATGCAAAAGACCTACACGACCATGTTCAAGCGTACTCAATCAACTTTGCTATCCACGGCATATCTCTTTACCGTGTACACGTGGTCGGATAGGTCTTGCACTCGCTTACTCGACGTCAAAGTTAGCTCAAACTCGGCATGGAGACACACGTCGGCGGCCACGACCAGCGTTAAATGCAGTTCCGGCAAGGTCGCGGCATCGCACGCCACCGTGCACTTGTGCGCACTTGTCGGCGGCGGTTGGTCGTGCCAGACATACCGTCGCCGCTTCTTGGCCACACATTCGTCCATGCGAGTGTCTTCTTGGCGGCGCCAAATTGTTTCGAGTGGCGATCCGTCGTCGCACGAGCACTCGTTCAAGTCACACCGACACAGCTGAAACACAGTATGGGACTCCAAGATCTCGGACGTGTCGAAGGACAAGGCGGTGGCGTAAGAGGCGTCGGACACGACGATATCGACCCATAAACGATCGCTTAATAAAACGTGCACGATCTTCATGTCGTTGTCGTGTGTGGGGCTCTTGTTCACCATGAACAACTTGACTTGGACTAGATCCTTGTCCTTGGCGGCGGTGCCCTTGCGAAACGTGAGCAAGTACGTGTCCTGCAGCACTTTAAGGTCCACAGATGAACTGTCGCTGTGGTCGGGGGCGGCAATGTCGTCGGGGAAACCCGTCCGCGCAAACGCGTACGCTTCGTTCATGGAGGTACCGTACGACGTGATCGAGGACGTTACCGTGAGGGGGATCTGCGAGTGACGTGGATATGACTCCCCTGATGACGATGCGTCGTCGTCGTCGGACGTTTCCTCGTCCGTGGTGTCGATGGACGCGGTGATGGCGTTCTCATGTCGTCCCCGAAGGTACATAAACACAACCTTTTTCACAAGACCTGTGGGCAGACAAGCGATCTTGCAATTTGTAGACTCGAGTCGAAGCACGCTATTGCAAGACGGAACGCGCACCACCAGCGACTTGAGCTTAAACAATTGCGGACAGGCCTGCACACACATGTCAAGATGAAGGAAGTCGTTCCACATAACATGACGCATACATGGACGTACATGTCGATCCGAGGGCAAGCGGTCGACGTGATGATGCTCTTCCCCAAAGCAGCTTCCTGTGTAGCATCGTAGCAGCCCACAGACGACCTGCATGTCCGAGTCGACGCGGGTCGTCAATCGAGAATTGTTGCGCTCTCTCTTTTTGAGTCTTGTCAATTCAACCGACCAATCACACGCCAGTTGCAATTTTAATGTCGCTCAGTTCATTTAATCTTATGTTACGTATGGTTCACGCAGTATTTTAAATAATTTCGTTGGCAAGTGCACTTTGCCCATGTATAAGTGAGGCGCATTTGATTGGTTGTTCCAGTCCTTCCAAAGATCGAAACGAGCCAATCAAATTCAAGACAACTATAGCCGCCGACCGCAGCATTTACGCGCAGCTGTCAATAATAATGGAGCTCAACATGGTTCCAGGAGTCCAGGGCGGGCCAAACACGATTCGCAGAATGCCGTCAGGTTCGGACTTGCCGCCACCAAACACCCCAATCGTTCGTCCAGTGTCACATGCGGCCATGTCACATCTACATGCCGGAATGAACTAGTATATAGCTATCCTCAAATTACCTGCTGCAGGTGGGCAGTTGTTGGCTCCACTGTAAGCCAACAGACACGGCACGTACTCCATGGCAAGGGACGGTACACTTCGACAGAGATCTCCAGCGAGCCACGGACTCAATTCCAGCAGTCTACTCATCGCATCAATCATAGAGATGTGTGCTATGGATGTAAAAGTGAACCTCGTAGGTGTGTCTGCGACTGCTACTTGGACGACATCTAGGAGTCGCTGCTTCCAAGGCGACTTGTCGGGCCAGTCAAGCAACGCTGCTTGTGCCACCACAGACTACCCCATTTTCACATCATCATATGATGATATATGATGAGGGGGACGTACCTTGCCCATGCTCCATGAGTCCCTGGAGGCCGCGCTGTCGTTAAAATACGCGGCTACTTGAGCCAAGTACGACGCCGACGACCTGTCGTGAGCTGCCTGGGCCAGAACTTGACGTTGAAAGCTAAGCGCCAGCGCCAGCATGTGGAGCGTCTCGGGGTGGGATCTCCATGCTGCATGAGAAGGAACCAGCAGTTCTCGGCTGCCCACTACGAGACCAAACTCCATGAACATTGATGTTGATTCAAGACACATGGAGGACGCATGCACACTTACGACGGACGGAGAGGGGGGGCTGAGATTGAGTGAGCATGTTGGCGATGCGCATTAATACAGACGTCGACCGCGTCAAGTTTAGTCTGGTGGTGATGTCCTAGCGTCGGTCCAATACAATGGTGATTGACGAGCACATAGTCGGATAAGCACTATGACGTTCGAACCGCAAAGAGTCGAGTGGATGAAGTCGTGGAGTTGGCGTCGCTAGAGACGTGCTGGGGAAGTTGGGGGTAATAACTCACGACACATTGCACGATCTCGGACCGAAGGGGATGGGTGACGAGGTACGGGCTGCACACGACGGCCCGCACAAACTCGTGAGGCGCTGCGATGACCAATAAGACATGTCAGCACATCATTTCATATATACCTTGCTCAAGCACAGACATGGTGAACTCGGCGGAGAAAGACAACGAGGGAACGCCATCGAAGCGAAAGGTGTTGTTCAAGTGCGACTTGGCAGCGTCGTCGAGGTGCTCCACAGCCTCCGAGATGAACTTCGCCCAGTCCCAAGCACGACGCATGGCGACAGAGTTCCATCCATGGAACTCTTGGGTTTGCGAGCTCTTCAAAATGCCCAGGAACTTCGTCACATGGATAGAAACTTCGTCAACATTGGGCGCTGCCATCGCGACATCCCGAACTCTTTTCATTTGAAATTGATTTACAAATTACATCCAATCACAGTGAATTGTCATTAAGGCCTTATCAGCCAATTAAATCACCTCATTATAACGCAACCAATGCCCTAGCTGTACGGATTCCGAACGATACCATTTTCACCTCTATTTCATTGCCATTACCATTTCTTTGGACTGTGAAGCATACCCAGACATATAATAATGGCATGGTCGAGCAATATGTCGTCGACTATTGACTGTACATCGATACCTTTAGATATACCTTGGGTGGTTTTATCCGGATGATTTTTATCTCCCTTCCACTCACAAGAAATAAGCAATCAGGTGCGTTTCAAAAACAATACTTTAAGTATTCCATTTTTTGGCAAAATGGTTTGTTGAATTCGGCCCCAAAATGGAGTTTTGAGCCTGAATATTGTAGTATTCCCGGTTACCAGACGCACGTAAGCAAAAACGCAAACATACTATAGTACTAGTAAGTTACTATAAGCGTATATGAGTTCGGAGTTTGCGCGGCAAAACCTCCATATTATGATAATGGCAACATGATGGAATGGCGCGCAGTGTTAAATTGACATGCCACCCAGCAAACCAAGACGGAGATACACTCCAGCAGAGCTGGAAGCTGCCGTGGTCGATGTCATCGATGGCATGCTTAGAACCGATGCTTCCGCTCTCTATAGAATCCCATACGAGACACTCATGTACAAGGTCCATCATCGCAAGAAAGACACCGAGATGCCTCTTCAGCGTCCCGGTCCATCTCTACCAACAACATGCGAAGCCGACCTCGTCGCATGGATTGCTACAATGCAGCAAAACGGCTTTCCAATGTATCGAGCTGGTATCATCGTGAAAGCCAACCAACTCATCCGACGCCTTGACCCAACGCGCTCGCTCACCGGTGGTTGGTACCGGCGGTTCATTGGCCGACATCCCAACCTGGTGAACCGGGTGGCCCAGGTAATTTCAAATGCTCGAAATGGCGTGGATATGTCGGGAGTGCAGCGACTCTACGAGTCTTTGGACATGATCATGGCGGAGCACAACCTCACGCCGGACTGCATGTTCAACATGGATGAGACCGCGTTCGAAACTCGCCGCAAGACGAAGAAGGTGCCCTGAAGGGGTCTCCAAACGTTTGGGCCAAGACGGTGGCCACAAACTTTCACCTCTCTGTTGTCGCATGTGGAAGTGCCGATGGAACTCTCGTGTCGCCACTGTTTTTGTTTCCGGGAGAAACACTGGAAAAAATCATGATGGGTTATTGCGATGTGCCAGGTGCTACTATTTCTACATCTCCCAAGGGATTTATGAATGAAGATTTGTTTTTGAATTGGTTGCGATTCTTTAGTGGTGCGGTTGACAAAGAAATTAAAAGACCAATTTTACTGATTTTTGATGGCTTGTCTTCTCATTTTTTGGATGAGATTGTTGCTTTGTGTAATGTACTGCAAGTTATCTTGTTGTCTTTGCCATCGAATGCGACGCATTTGTTTCAACCCTTTGATGTGAGTGTGTTTGGTTCATTTAAAACGGCAATTCGAAAAGCGATTTTTGGTGAAATGATACTCGACGGTAACAATATTTTGAAATATATACTTCAACATAACAATTTCATGATAGTTACTGGCGACTTGCACTCCATCTCAAAAACCGCCGCTCTGCGCATCGCATCCCACGCATGGACCTGCCACGTTTTGCCTGCGAATGTTGTCAGTGGATTCAGTACATCGGGGATTTTCCCCCTGTCCCTGGAGCAGATGACGCGCCGTTTCGAGCTTTTTAAGCACGGAGGTACCCCGTCGACTCACATCGAGGTCGAGTGGATCGAGCACCAAACTACGATACAGAGTGAGTTGCTACTCTTACCCTCCAAGGGAAAATGACGGACTGGACGAAAAAGGATTGATGTCGGTGGACGGGTCCTTACCCTCTCGCTGCTTGCCGAGGTTGACACCACCAAGGAAGAACAGATTGCCGCTGTCAAACAAAAGAAGTTGCTTCAAGCCAAGCGAGCGAAAAAGAAGGCCAAACGAGGACATGGTGGCGGTGTCGATGGCGCCGCCGACGGACATGATGGCGTGGCTGCACTGGACTTGATCGCATGTGGCCCTATCGGAGCTGAAGTTAGTGATGATGTTGGCCAGACTGTATTTGTGATCTAGATTGCCATAAGAGAGGAGTTTGGATGGTCTGTTTGGGTTGTACTTGGAAAGTTGGTGCTTTGGAAAGTTGGTTGCACCGCGGCTGGTCAAGTCGAAAGTGAAGGTTGGTTTCAAATTCCCTCTGATTAAACATAACCTTGTATAAAAGCATGTTTACCTGTTGAGACATTATACCCTAGACACAAAATTTCTATGCATAGAGCCATACATGCTTTAAGATAAAATTGCACAGCAAAGATTGGCACACGCAACTGTATAGATTTTGCATACAAAATCGAATATAGATATGCCATTTTAAGCGTGAAACACAATAATTTGGTACCCCAGAAATAGTGCGCTTTATCCTCGATATAATGCTCGATTCAGGGTACAAATCGGATCCCTCAGGCAAGAGAAATGTCGAATCTTGACAAGTGAAAAAATGTGGTACAGCATAGATTGGCATTTTACGTTACATTAAAGCTGCCTGGGAAAATATGTCGTCGTCAACGATTAAAAACGCGTTTGCGAAGGCGGATATCGGAGTCAACTTTTTGTCCAACATTGTAGGTAGTGATGACAACGTAGATGACGAAGCAGTCGAACTGAATGTACTTGCGCTGAACCATGGACTCGATACTAGTGATATGAATTGTTTTTTGCATTGTGATGACCGAAATTCCGATGAATACATTGCATCGATACTGTAACGGCCGAAATGATAATTTACACTACTTATTTGTGTTCTCAGCATGAAGTTTTGGACCAAAACGTGCGTAATGCGGAGTCCTCAATCTGCTAATTTCACAACCTCACACAACCAAAAATAACGTTTATAACTTTTGAGCTGGAGATTTGCATCTCAAAATTCAGTTTCCTTACGAATATGCTTGCTAAACACCTCTATTATTATCCATCTAACTTATGGACCACCAGCAGCACGAGCAGTCTTCAACATGTCATAGTTGGATCTTACTTCTGAGTGGCGAAAGCAACACCCAGTGGCGGAATAATAGTCTTTCCAACGGCATGCCACCAATCCCCACGAAGTCGTCTCATTCTTCAAAATGCCTCTCACTGTGTCCATCGTTCTTGGCTCCGTTCGCCCTGGCCGCCAAGGCCTTCGCGTGGCCAAATACCTCCAAGCCAAGTTGGATGCTGCTGGCTTCAATGTCCACTTGATCGACCCCCTCGAACTCAACTTGCCGTTGTTTGTCAACCGCTTCGCGTACCTCCCTGCCGAACTTAAGTCCGAAGCCCTCACGTCGCTACAAGCCAAGTTCGAAGCGTCGGATGCGTTCGTGGTCATCACCCCCGAATACAACCACACGTTCTCGCCAGTGATCAGCAACACGTTGAACTACTTTTACTCCGAATACGCCAACAAGATTGCGGGTATTGTCACGTACTCGGTCGGTGGTTTTGGCGGTGTCCGTGCGGCCGGCCCGCTGCGTCCCTTCTTTGGCGAATTGGGTTTCGCCACCATCCCCAAGGAACTCCCCTTCCCAGTAGTGCAAAACGTGCTCAACGAAGACGGCGCCCTCAGTGCTGACGCTGGCGCCAGTGGCGAAGCCATTGAAAGCGGCACCAAGCAATTCGTGAACGAATTGAAGTGGTATGCCGCAGCGTTGAAGACTGCTCGTGCTGGTGGTGGTCCTCAAAAAGTACTTCTAGTAACAATTATCTTGGTCGTCCGCCTGCCTTGATTTGTTTTTTCATGCCGGATGTATGCCACTAAGGTTTATACGTACGTGAAATCTACGAAGTAGTATGTCGGTTGTTTTGAGTGATTTGTCCTTAACGGTATGTCACAAAAGAGCGAATAATTGCTTTAAGTTTCACGTTGGAACTCAAGTACAAGATTTTCGTCGACCTCCCAAATGTGAATGCATTAACATCCATCCTAGCGGGCTAGTTAACAT